GCAAGCAGGTTTTTCAGACTCAGTTAATCACACAGAAGGAGATTACCCATCTTTCTCCCAGAGAACAGCTCGTGGCCTCTAACCGTGTGTCTTTGGGATTGCAGCACAGCTTCTTGCCACTAGGCTGGATACGTATTTAAAAATATTTATCAAAACACACACACACACACACACACACACACACACTTTCTCTCTCTCTCTCTCTTTCTCTCTCATATACACAAAGACATTTACATTTCTGGTAGTATAATGTGTAACATGTTGAGCAGCTAAACAAATCATGGTTATTAGTTCAAGTTGACCTAGTATTCCATAGGAGAAAAATGGGCAATCTTCTCCTGTGAAGATTTACAACCTCAGAAAATTGATAGAGCGTTGCCATGAGTCAAACTCAATAGGAAGACTGTGGTACACTTGCATATGCGTGTGCATGTGCCGCTAGCGCCGTGCACCCCCTACCTCTATGTACTCATCCCAACCTACCTCTGCTTTGAGTCAGTTTCATCCCATAAGGAGCCTATCGGCTAGGATAGAAAGGAATTCTTCTATAGGGTCTACAAGACTATACATTTTTACAGAAGCAAACTGTTACAACTTTCTCCTACAAGGCATTTGGGCTGAACAGTTTAACCACTTGCCTCAAGGATTCCCTATATATCTCTATACGTACATATATACATGTATATGTACACATAAAGTTTCACCAAAAGATCATGAAAAATACAATTCTGACAGTGATTAAAAACAATCAAACATTTACGTTGATTTGCTCATAATATATAAAATTTTATATAAATGTGTGTGCATGCACATGAGTACACGTATGCGATTTTTTTTTTAATAAAATTGTTTCCCCTCAGGTATAAAGATAATAACAGTATTTCAATACTTCTTAAAATATTTCTGGTGATAGGAAAATAGTGTCATACTATAAAGTCTTAGAATACTGCCTAACAAAGCTACACACCCCAACAGCTTGAAAATCAGTCTAGATGAGTTAAAAAGAAACCATATAAGAAACCCCCAAAGAGTTTCTTTTTGTGTTGCTTAAACATCCATCATTTAAATACATATGGTATCTGATAATTGTATTTTCAAAAGTGTTTTGTAGGAAAACAAATTATCATAAATAAAATGAATTAAAATGATCACTATCAGTTTACGGGTAAGTCTACTGAAACTCTATTAATTTTGTCAAAAACCAAACACTAATGTGAGGAGCTTGTACTCTCGTAGCCCACCATATTGCAAATAAGTAATAGTAAGCCAAAGAATAAAATAAATTAATGAAGCAAATTTTAAAAATGGCAGAGCTTTTAATTTTTTTTTTAATTACTCACTGGTTTCCCTTGAGTTCCTCTTTCTCCAGGAATTCCACTCTTCCCCTGTACAAATTGGAAAATACTTAGGTCAAGTAGCTCCCTCCCAAACTATGCATCACATAAGATCTTAAATGTCCATATTTATTTAACTGGAAATGGTTTGCTACTTACAGTAAGACCATGAGGCCCTCTTTTTCCTTGATTTCCTTTTTCACCCTAACAAAGTATCAATATCAGATGAGTCAAGAAGAATATAAATTATGATTTTCACATGAGAAGATACACTCATATATCAAATAATAGGCTTATTAAGCATATGGTCGGATATATAATAAAAATTTTTGTAGATTTCATGTCAGAATTACTAGAAAATTTAGGACCAGGTTAAAGACATTCTGTTAAAGCCAAGACATACTTTTAATAATATTGTCTCAGTAAAAATGTATTGTTATGAAAAGATAAAATCAACGATTACCTTAATACCTTGTATCCCTTGTTCCCCAAGAAGACCATCTGGTCCTCTTGGTCCCTAGAAGTGGAAAAAGTTATCATGTTATTTCAAAATGTTCTTTCTTTTTTCACTGTTACATGTTCTTACTGACGAAGTTCTAGTACACTTTTCACTCTTCAGGCATCTATGTTTTAAAAAGAATTGATTATATAGTTGAAGCTATTTGTATGAAAGAATACAGTCATCATTTTCAAGATGTAATGGCAAATAATGAATTAGATAATCACAAAATCTTAGATGATTTAGTTGTTGGTGTAGTTTGACAGTTTGTTATTTAGATCTCTGTATGCCCTATACTCAGCAGCTATCTAGGACTTACTTTAAAAGCAATATAAATGACTGGCAATCTAGCTACACTCACTTCCCACTGCTCTCAAGTCAGTCTGGTTCATTCTGACTCTCCATGGATTTTCAAGTCTGTCAATCTTTACAGGAGCAGACTGTCTCATCTTTCTCTTGTAGAGTGGCTTGCAGATTCAAACTGTTAACATGGTAAGCAGTCTAACACAGAACAGACCAGCATTCCTTCTATTTGTCTGGACAGTGGTTTAAAAAGGAAATTTTAGGAATGGTACTTTTCTATTTACATTATTCCAACATGAATGCTGATTACATTGTACCTGCTATGCTCCCTTTACAACAACAGGAGATGGTTAGGGCAGTGAAAAGGGAGGACGAAAGCTTTTGAAATAGCATGAGAAAAGGGTACACAGCCAGGGAAGAAGACATCCAACTAATCACAAGTAGTTAATTTAGTTGGATTATTGATTACATGCAAATAAATAGTAATAATGAGTGTAGAAAGACAGGTATTTAAAGATCAAAATACTGGAATTAATCTTTAAATTACAATGAGGAGTCCCTAAAGATTTCTATACAAGAAAATGATACAACTGGTCCTCTGGAGGAGAACACAAGCTTTAGCACCTTCTCTTTTCTTGTATGCTATCTGAAATCATCTTTGATTTAGCTTTGTATTATTACAAAGTTTAACTATAATGTGCCTACCTTCGTGGGAACTTTGGTCAACCACCTTCTATAATCCTGTTGGGCACATTCATAGGATTGGGAAAGACTTGTATTCTATGAATATCTATAGTTCTACTAATCCTTCTTTTTAAATTATTATTATTATTTTTTTTTAATAGCAAGTTTTTATTAACAAGAAAGGCTTCCCTTAATTTACATAACTTATATTTTTAATATTAAATAGGATAAGATGTTCAATAAGCCCTCGTGTTTTTATTAATTTACAGTCTAATCCAGTTTTGGCCTCTGAATGCAAATGCTTGCTGTATATTTATTTTTTAATAGGCCAAAGTAAAATTATTAGCTATTTTTAAAAACTATGTTTGAAACTTTTTTTATCATTAGGACATTACATCTTTTCCAGAACAACTTACAGAAATTACACAAAGCAACTGTTATCAAATAACAGTATTCAGCAATCTTTTGTTTAGCTGAAATGTTAGTTTCAGTTGTAAAAACCATCTCTAGGTACAAAAAAATAATCAGAAACCTTATTAGCTTTAACTTGCTTTTACAAATGTCCTAAGAAATCTTAAGCTAAATATTACTTTCAACACAAAACGCCAATAATTTTTTAATAACTTGGCATCTGATCTCTGTAATTTGTGTACATGCATTAAGTCGTCTCTAACTAGGAAATCAGGCTAGTTAACACATTAAGTGCTAGTAAAAATAAAGGCAACAACTAATCATTCACCTTGTAACAGAAACAAAGCAACAATTTCAAGTATTGGTGGCATTAGTGCTGACACACTAACACAGTGCTCTGCTACAAAGGAGGAGACAAAGACTGGATTGTTTTCTGACTGCAGCTGCCCTGTGGCCGCTCCAATAAGGCTTTCCCCTAAAGGAAAGCTGCAACACAATTCAATCAGGTTCAATCAGTGCTTAACGGGAGCAAATCCTTGTGGGTGTCTTCCCCACCACCCCCTACACTGGTGCTGTATTATTAAAAACATTAAGTACCTGGAATTTATGGTTCATCAAGAGAGTGTTTGAGTAATTTCCAATGATGTACAGCTCTTTGTATAAAGAAAGTTCTGTGGTGGCAATTATGTAAAAAAAGTTATTTAAACAATGTGACACATCAGGTATTAGCAATCACAGAGCCTTGATCTGGACACTTGGTTGTCTCTAAGTTAGGCACACTGTGAAATGCTAAAAGATGTGCCCAGCTGATCTGTGAAGTTTACAGAGCTGCAGAATTCAGGGAATGACTACTTTCCCATTAACCTAACCAGCCCATATAGAGCACACGAAATCAAAAGACTCTGGAAGGCATACAGATGCAATTAATGAATGGGTAATGCTTTTTGATTAAGTTACCAAATATTGGCAAGCCAATACAGTACTCTTAACCACAACAGAACCCTATCTTGTTGGAATTATAGATTATTTTGGTGAAAAGTTTCTCTCAAGAAATCTCACCAAAATACCAAATCAAAACACTGGTTTTAACAGAATAATTGAGGCAAATCAATATTGCTTTGAAAAGTCCCAATTTTTCCCTTTAAGTGAGTTTCTCGGTGAGTGCCTGCAGCCTGTGGACCCACGTGGCCTGGCCTTATTATGGTGTTGGTCAAAGCCCAGCAGGATTCCCACAACCCGGAAGTTTCACTCTTTAATTCTAGGAGAGTCAATATGGCATTATCAACTTCAGTGCACTTCTTCAATAATCGTTACATTTCCACAAAACCACTGGATACCTCGGAATTAGACTGTCATCAAACAACACTATTTTTTTCAATGATCCCTTGGTTTGAAGCCCTTGCCCCTCTTTGTTTCTATCAAAGTCACATAGACACTCTCCAGCTTACTGAAAAAAAAAAAAAAATAACGTCCACCTAAAAGAGTTGTAGTCTTTAAATAACCAATAAATACACAGCTGGCTTGGAGACTTGGGGCCAGTCACTGTGCCTCGTGCCACTGTCATTTTTCTCCAAACGCTGCCGCTGCTGTCGGCATCCTTATGCTTCCTCTAGCGGAGGCCGTCAATTCTTCAATCTCAGCGTTTAATTTGTTTATTACCCATCCCATGGCTTCTCGACCCGTCAGACTTTCCAGGTAGCTGCTGAATCTGACGCCCTTCACGGTGATGATGGCTTCCTGAGTGAGAATCGTTTTGCCCGGGTGCTGAGGATGAGGCTTCTAGATGAGCCTCTCGTCCCCGGAGACCATATTTGTAAAGGAAATATGAGTGGATTTCAGTTCCATCGTTTTCTCTACTGGGTCAACTACAGAATGCTCCTGCACGTATTGAGCTGCGCTGACAGAAGAGCGCGCCACAGTGGGCAGGCCCCACTCCGTGCTCAGAAGCCGCTGGCTGTGCAGATTGCCCGAGGGGTCCACGTGCCTGTGCAGGACTTCGACGCCCACCAAGCTGCGGTTCATCGGGTTGGGGTACTTCTGCATTGCAGCGTTGTGACCATTTCCCAGGGGTGGTCGAAGACATGCTCGGAGGTCCAGATCTTCATGCGCGACGACCCGGCGGCGGCACTAGGGCCCAAGGAGGCCAAAAATTATTATTATTTTGTGTGTGTGTGTGTGTGTGTGTGTGTGTGTGTGTGTGTGTGTGTGCCGTCAAACCGGATCTGACTGGTACAGGAGGACATTGCCCTCCTTCTTCAGCAGAGCATCTGGTGGAATCAAACTGCATACATCTAGGATTGCAGTGCCTCTTCTTGCCACTAGGCCACCAGAGCTCCCCCACTGGTCCTTCTTGATGTATGACTCATATCGACCCAAAGAACAAAGGTCTGAATCCAGTCCTATCCTGTGTCATCCTTTTTCTCCCTCTCTCTCGCTCCACTCTTGCATTCTTTCCAGTACACTGTCTCTGACACTCTTCCTATCTCTCTCTTTTGCAGCTTCAGCCTTACAATTAATCAGTTTGAAGGTGTCAAACTCATTGCTGTCGAGCTGGAACTGACTCATTGCTAACCCTCTGGTAGGTTTTAGAAGCTGCGACTTTCATGTGAGGATATTGTCATCTTTATCTTGTTGAACTACAAGAGTCCTTGAACGACGTGTTAACGGAACAACTCCCGACCGACCAGGCTGGTACTTCATTACATAGCCCAACTTGTTTTGATTTATTTGAAAAGGAAAGATTGCAAAATTAAGTTAAAGTCTTACTGTGTATGGATTTCATTGTCAAATTAAGGAATAGGGGCTTAATTTGGAAAATGAAGGTCATTTTGAGACTATCTCAGTAATATAGGCAAGACACAATTTAAAATAGAATTAAAGTGGTTTCTATTGGCATAAATGTGGTAGAGATTATAGATATTAATTTGGAATATTTAGAAAGATAAAGTTAATCAATGACTCTTGGGTTTAAGCAATTTAGTGAGTGCAAGTGACCTTTGTTGAAGAGGAAAGGAAATTATTTTGGATATGTTAAACTTGAGTTTAACTATGGCCCGTTGGTCACAAAAGGACCCTGGTGGCATAGTATGTAAGGAGTTGCACTTCTTAACGTAGAGGAAGAACTTCTCATAGTTGTTTTCATTTGCATCTCTCTAATAGCTACATACAATCTAATGAGCACACCCAGGGAAGCGTCTATTTGTTGAAATATGTCAATTGGTATTCCATCAATTGCTGGGGCTTTATTTTTTTGGCATGTCCTTCAGAACAGTCTGAAATTCCTCCTTCACCACTATTGCCTCTTGATCATATGTTTCTTAAAATTCTTCTGTGTCAGCCAGTTATTTTTGGCATAATGACTCTGTATACTCCTTCCATCTTCTTTTAATACTTCCTGGATCATTCAATATTTGACCCATAGCATCCTTATGTATTGTGACACGAGGCTTGAATTTGTTCTTGAGTTCATTCACTTTAAGAAATGCCAAGCAAGTATGGCCCTTTTGATTTTTGGATTCCAGTTCTTTGCACATTTCATTATAATACTTTGCTTTGTCTTCTCATGCTGCCCTTTGAAATTTTCTATTCAGCTCCTTAACTTCTGGATTTCTTTGCTTTGA